TCTTGAGTTCTAACAGGTCAGTACCTTTGTATTGGTTAATAGCACATGCCAATTGATAAAGCAATATCTTGAGTTCTAACAGGTTATGAGCCCAGCTGTTGACCCGTCTTCTCTACGTGTCAACTTCTAATCAGCCACGTCGACAGATCGACCTAGAACTTGAGATAGACAAGTCAGATAGACATCCTCCGCTACACCGGATAACAGGAAGACCACCCCTTCCCTAGACATTAGTAAACCGATCATCTCCATTACCTCGCTGTCCTTCACCATCATGTCCGACGACGAGATCACCACCAAAGGACCCAAGGTCATTGTCCTTGCCCGAGCCGGGGTCAACTATGTTGAATGGCTGGAGTCCATTCGAGACCTCTTGGCTATCAAACGCCTGCTTCCTTATGTGAAGTATGATGCCAAGGGTGAACCGGTCAAGCAGAGACCGGTCCTTCCGGAAAAGGGGGACATCACCGAGAAGATGACGGAGGCCGCTGAAGACTACGACCTCAAATGTGCCCAGGCTCTGGGTTACATCCGGCCTTCGCTTGGGGTCAACAAGCGATCGATCCAGGGGATTGATCACCCGGCCAAGGCCATGTACAAGATCAAGGAGATCCACTCCAAGACCACCTCGTTCGATGTCCAGATCCTGATCGACGAGTTCGCCAACCTCCGGCCCATTGGAGACGACTTTGAGGGGTACATGGCGAGGTTGGATACGGTGGTTGAGGGTCTGGAGGCCAACGGGCTACAAAGGGAGGATGTGGAGATCATGGCCCAATGGTCTAAGTGTCTCCGATCCTACCCGGAGGGACACCCGTACTTCAAGACTGGAGAGTTCCTTCAGTCGAACATCACCATGGGGGTCGATGTCAAGAAGGAGTCGGTCGAGAGGATGATTCTGGCCGCCTACCGTGACATTGCCAACAAGGAGATTGCCGAGAAGGATGAGGAGAAGGCCTTCCAGGCAATGGCAGCCAAGTTTGGTTATGCCAAGATTGGGACCACCGGAGTTGGATTCGGGACCGGTGGTGTTGGGAGGCGGACCTTTGGGACCGGGACCGGAACCGGGACCAGGACCGGGACCGACACCAGGATCTGCAGGTGTTGCGGGCAGAGGGGGCATATCGCCAGGGAGTGTCCTCAAGCCGAACCCAATGGGTGCCACTCCTGTGGCAAGGCGGGACATCGGGCTCCCACCTGCCCTCACCCGGACATGGTTGCCTACAGGCAGAGGCACGGAGGAGGAGGATCGGGACCGGGATTTAGAGGTGGTGACAGGGCCGCTGCCGCTGTATCTTCTTTTGATGCTGCTATGCAATCCATGACCCTCTATCAATGTCAGCCCGATCAAGCCTTGAACATCACTGAGAAGGCTTACTCACTTGCGACTAGGAAGATGACAACCCTGATCGATTCAGGTTGTTCAAGACACATGTTCGGGATGAAGAGGTTCTTTGACCTATCCCCAAACTATCAGAGAATGACTGCACCTGTCATGGTCGGAAACGGACAGGTGATCTATGCTGAGGGGATGGGCGACATCTTCTTGACCATCGAGGTTGGAGGAAAGAAGGCAGAGCTACATCTTGCAAACTGCCTGTATGTTCCCAAACTCAGTTCGAACCTGATCTCGATCTCACAGCTGGACAAAGCCGGATCGGACATCATGTTCACGGAAGGCAAGGCGATCTTGAGGAAGAACAACAAGATGACCTTGATCGGCAAGATGTTGGATACCAACCTGTATGAGGTCAATGCAAAGTCTCCGACATTACCTAAGATGGATTCAGCCAACACGGCATCGATCTCAGGACTGGGGAATATCTGGCATCAACGGCTGGGACATCTGGGTGGGAACTCGATACGGAATCTTAAGGATTCGGTGGATGGGTTTGACCAGACGTCTGTCCCACACCAGTGTGAGAGCTGCATTCTGGGAAAGATGACAAGAGCTCGATTCCCGGACAGCTCATCACGGTCAACAGAACCACTCCAGCTGATCACCTTCGATCTTGCTGGGCCTTTCGATGAGGCTATCGGAGGAGCCAAGTACTTCATGATCATGGTCGATGATTACTCCAGATACTACCATGTCGAACTCCTCAGGACCAAATCAGAGGCAACCCGATGGTTGAAACAGGTTCTGACTCAATGGGAAAATCAGTTGAGTCGATCAGTCAAGGTTCTTCGGTCCGATGGTGGGGGAGAATTTGACAACAGAGCGATCAGCCAGTTCTGTGAAGAGAAGGGGATCCGAGCTCAGATGACTACAGCTCGAACACCAGAACAGAATGGGGCAGCGGAGAGAGCTGTCCGGACCATCAAAGAGGGTACTCGGACTCTCTTGATCGATTCCGGTCTCAGTAACAAGTACTGGGGTGCTGCTGCAAAGAACTTTGCATACGTCCGGAACCGGACCCGGACCGCAAAGACAGGAGAGAAGACACCGATAGAACTCTTCACTGGAAAGAGACCGTCGGTCAGTCATCTGAGGGTGTTTGGATGTGTCGCTTACATGCACATACCAAAAGAAGACCGGGTTGGTCAGATCTGGAAACCCAAGGCAAAGCGGTGCATCTTCCTTGGATATGGAGAGGAAGAGTTGAAGGCCAAGAAAGCTTGGACACTCTTCGATCCCTATGCTCTCAAGAAACATGTGACGGTACATGTCAAATTCTGTGAAGACCAGAGATGGGCCGATCAAAAGACCAACATCGCAAAAGGAGACATTTTCTTCCAGGACATCTCACCTGCAATCGGGGAAGCCGAACTGACTGTCGGGGAAGAAGCCCAACCGGTTGATCCAGAGATCGGGGAAGCTGGACCGAGGATTGATGAAGCTGAACCAGAGATCCTGGATCCTCGACCGGAGATTGGAGAAGCTCAACCAGAGATTGGGGAAGCTGAGCGAGAGATGGGGGAAGTTGAGCGAGAGATTGGGGAAGCCGAACCTGAAATAGGGGAAGCCCCAGTTCAGCCAGCAGGACCGATACCACTGCCGCCAAGTAGGATTCCGGTCCCGGTGGATCAACAAAGCACTCGGAAGAAAGGAACTGGTATCTGGAAGAACTATGAGTATGTTCCAGTACCAGCTCAAGGATCGGGGATTCCACAGGTCTTACCGGATGGTGCAAGACGGTCCCGACAAGCTCCAAAGAGATTCCAGGATCATGCGGCCATTGCACACGGACCCAAGCTTGAGGACATAATGGATCAAGCTTTCTTGACATCGGCTGAGATGGATCCTGCCGATCCCATCTATCTGGATGCGAAGCTGGATGAGATGGCATCGATGGCCAAGAACCAGGTCTGGACCCTGGTCCCGAGGCAGACCGGACAACCAAAGCCGATCTCAGTCCGATGGGTCTGTACCATGAAAGACCTACCCGATGGTACTCAAAAGCCAAAGGCCAGACTGGTTGCTCGGGGCTACACCCAGAAAGCTGGGATCGACTATCAAGAGATCTTTGCCCCGGTTGTCAAACTGGAATCCATTCGGTACATCATCGCTCGAGCGTGCCAGAGACAGATGGTTCTGTCACAAGGTGACGTCAAGACCGCCTTCCTCTCCAGCAGCATGGAAGGAGAGACCGTCTACATTGAACAGCCTGAGGGATTCAAGGAACCCGGGAAGGAGGACCATATCTGCCTATTGAACAGAGCAATCTATGGTCTTCATCAATCTCCTCGTCTGTTTTACCGGCACATCAGAAAGATCCTGGGTGGATTTGGGTTCTCATCGATCTCAGCAGATCAGTCGGTGTTTGTCAAGGACACTCCGGAGGGAAAGGTGCTACTTGGTCTATATGTGGATGATGCACTGGTAGCAGGAGACACCGACAGCTTGGTCCAGGAAACCAAAGCCTTGCTCAACACCAGGTTTGAGATGAAGTGGACGGACGATCCCAAGGTGTTACTGGGGATCGAGATCGAACAGGACCGGGAGAAGGGAATCATCACCCTATCTCAAAAGAAGTTTGCTCGGGAGATCCTGGAACAGTTCAATATGATTGACTGTCATCCCGTCAAGACTCCAGTGGAAGAGGTCATCAGCGCATTCCCACCTGAAGACCGACCACCACCTGATACCAGGTTTCCTTTCCGGGAGTTCATCGGAAAGGCGAATTATCTAGCTCGGGGGACACGACCGGATCTCTCCTTTGCAATCTCACACCTTGCATCATTCTGTTCGACCTACCAGGAGACACACTGGAAAGCATGTGAGCGGGTAATGAAGTACCTTCAGGGCACTATCGATGCTAGTCTTGTCTATCACCGAGACGGCAATCAGAAGATTGCTGGTTACTCGGATGCCGAGTATGCCGGAGACAAGGGAGACAGGAAATCTGTCGGGGCATATGTGTTCACATTGGCCAATGGACCGGTATCATGGCAGAGCAAGAAACAGACCACAGTAGCCTGGTCTAGCACGGAGGCCGAGTACATCGCTCTCGGCTCAGCAGGGAAAGAAGCGGTCTGGCTCTCGATCATGGATCAAGAACTAGGATTTCATGATGGTAAACCGGTCACCATCTTTGAGGACAACCAGCCAGCTATCGCATTGGCTAAGAATCCCACCAACCATGCTCGGACAAAACATATCGATGTTTTGCATCACGCTCTTAGGGGATTGATCGAGGACAAGAAGATCGAGGTCGAATACCTCAACACCAAAAAGATGATTGCCGATCTCCTCACCAAGCCAATCACCGGAAAGCAGCTCCAACTACTTTGCAATGACATGAATCTGAGGATCAACAGGGCACCTACACCAATGTCGTCCACCTCTGAATAGAGAAGTCCGAGGGGAAGTGTAGAAAGTAGGCGCGCGTGCACGTGTAATCAAGGATTACCGGGATTATTTCCCCATGATTACTGGGATTATTTCCCAGGATTACTGGGGACTGGGGTGATGCTTAGTCAGCATCACCCAAGTTGGGACCTCACCCCGGTGATGAAAATCTCGGACAACTAGATCATCAATATACACCACTTGACTGTTAGATCTCAAGCAATATCTTGAGTTCTAACAGGTCAGTACCTTTGTATTGGTTAATAGCACATGCCAATTGATAAAGCAATATCTTGAGTTCTAACAAGGAGGTGTGGACTGTGGACTTACCCGATAGGCCTTCGGGGTGTAATGCAAGCCATCGGTAAACAGTTCTTCATCCCTGACCCCGTCCCGCTTGACCTGCAGGAACAACTCGTACAAGTCCACCGATGGCGATCCAGTCTCCCTCCCGACCTGGAGCACGGCATCGGCGTACTGTCGACTGGTCTCGTTGCTCTTGCCGGTATCCTCGACGGCGATGCCCCGGCTGTGTAGGAATGCGAGGAACGCTTCGGGGTCGCACATCGAGGGTGTGAGGAGGAGGACGTCTGATCGGTGGGTTTTCTTGAAGAAGGTGACGAGCGCGGTCAGGTTGGACACGAATTCTTCGATAGGCACCTGCGTGTTTGAAAAAAGGTGAACAAGACGAAGTCGAGGGCGTTTAGTAGGGATTCGCTTGCATGCGAGTTTCAGGTCATTATGACGTACCGCGTTGGCGTTGCTACCATCATGACAAACGGCAATTGCACAGCAGCCGTAAGCATCTGATGCACCAGGGTGCGTTTGCTCCGGAGGTCGAGCACGCCTTTGTACCTTACCTGTCGTTCGTTCCGAGGTTGATTACGACCAGCTTGATGGGAGTCGGTGATGCTTGTCCCGCTTCGACTCCGTTTTCGAATTCACCGTCCTTGATCTTCTGAAGGACCGTACGCGAATTACTTTGATGTGCAAAGAGAAGCCATCAGCAGTCTCTCTCTATCAAGTATGCGATCAGCACACCTCCTCGAGGCAGAGCTCACTATCCCCCGAAACCGCGGTTCAAGACGTCGCATTTGGCGGCGTACTATCAGAGATCGGCGGACAGATCAGATTGCTAAACACCCATATCATGAGATCATACGCCTGGCAGTACGTAGTGAAGGCGCTTACATCCGCGACCATGGCCGAACCGTAGCCGTCGACACCGAAAGCCCCTTCGGTGAGCGAGTCGCCTAAGAGTAAGATCTTGGGATAGCTTTTGACCATGATTCGATATTCCGAGTTGATGTTGAGCTTTTTGCGCCTTGTGTACGGCTGATATGGAAGACTCAATTCTCGCGTCTCGACTGGTTGCTTTCATATATATAAAGTATATAGTGGTAGTATACATGGTTATCGATACATCGATTCAGGGTGGATGTGGACGGAATTGCCGGCGCCGGCAATTAATTGATGTGTCGTGGGCTATGGGTCATCTCGTCGTTTCTTTACACCGGCACCCCGAGATCGCCACCCGATTCCGCCAACGACGTCGTGTGAAACGGGGGCTGTATGCGACGCATGAGACTAGTCCCTCGTTTGTAGTTTGTGTGATGTCGGCAAACGATTCTGTTTGCGCCGGTCCCGAGTGGCTCGACTGAACGGTTGGGGATTAGTACCTGCGAGCTTTTCCTGGCTCAATATAGACGCGAGAAAGGGCAGACTCTTTCCGGGACCTTTCCAATGTTTTGCGACATCTCGCTCTTGCGGGTAGCTATCAGACCGCCTCCGCCACCTTGCGACCAGGTTGAGATTTCGTCCCTGGTCAGGAAGATCTCGAGACCGTCGATGGGTCTCATGCGAAGATATCCGTCCGTGCCCAATGAAGAGACCTAACGGGGCAGGGAGATGTAGAGCTGGAGGATTCTCCGTCGGCGGTCGCAATTCACTTTTATGAAACAGAACAAGCCACCCCGGTCGACGCGCATCTGCAACTCCGACGGAGATCCGCAGTCGCCCATCAGACAGGCTTAGGTTCAAAGTTGTCGCGCTTCAAGGTGATGCATCAGGCTTGCTAAGCGAGGGTATGTCGCTCGAATTAACTTTATAGCATCCTCCATAATGGGTACCTCTTTTTACTACTACAACTGTTGCGCCCTGGATGGACCCCTGCGTTTTTTCCTCCCAACGGTTCATGAAAGCGTCCTGGTATCCTAGTTACCCTTGTGCGCACGCAGGATCTCGTTCAGCTTGGTCCTCTGTTGACAATGGTCAAAGTGGAACGACTTGGCGAGTTCGTCGAGCTCCTCCAACGTCTTGTCCTTGAAGTACGAGGCGTACTCGTCACAGAGCTCTTCCTATCGATTGGCAAAGCGGGACTCCATAAGTGAGGTTCGGAAAGCGGGCGCTGTGACGCAGACGATACTTACGGAGAGAAGGATCTCCCGGACGAGACGCGCGATGAAACGTTTCTCGTCCCACGTCTTTGGGTAACGGTCTTTGAAGGAAGGAGCGGCGTTTCGAGCCCATTCGGCGATGGGAGCGAACAGGTCCCGGACGGGGGTGTCATCGCAGCCCCAAGCGTCGATGACGAGTTGCTACGAACAGTCAAATTCAATTCCAAGTCAGCCGGCTTGATCGGACCCATCAGATCATACGCAAACGGGCACGTACCTTCTTCTTCTCAAGGAACGGCTTCATCAGCTTCATATAAGCCGTCTCCTCGTCCACGTAGACCATCCCCTGGAACCCGATATCCTTCCACAACCAGATGGACCAGGAGGAAGCCGTCTCGTCGTACAGCTGCAGTTGGTCCTCGAGCACCCGGAAACGGACCTCGTTGGTCTGCTCGAAATCGGGTCCGTCGGACTTGTCAGCGTAGACGGGACCGAACTCGCCGTCTACCGAACACGGTTTCGAGGGTTACGTCAGCCATTCGTCCTCAACAGGTTCGTCGTGCAAGGGAAGGGGGAAAGGACACGCACTCCAGATAGGTCCACCGATCTTCTTCATATACTGGATTTTGCGGTCGAAAGACCTCTTGAGCTTGTCCTTTTGCGCGTCCGTGCCGGTGTACACCTCGGGGGCGTTGGGGAAACCGAAGCTGGGACACGCGAAGCGGGCAAATCGGGTCATCTTGTCAGCGTCAAAACGTTGCCCTGAGGGTTCTGACGTGGTAGAGCGCGGCGTACCTGCTGTAGTCGTGACAGGCGTAAACGGTGTTGGGCAGACCGGGGTGATCCATGAAAGCAGAAAAGTCGGCTCCGAAGGTGCTAAGAGAAACATCCCGACATTAGCCTTGTTCGCTCGACCGCCTCTGATTACAGCATGACCATCCTATGCTCACTTTCCACTAAGATAGGCAAACCCGAAGTTTCATCAGCATCCTGACCTTCACGACGAACTCGATTCCCGTCCCCAACTCGGCGACTCACTCCAGAAACAAGATGTGCTTGTCGTCCACCTTCCTGATGGCCTTTTCGATCCGGTCGTAGTACTCTACCAACCGGGTGTGTTTGGGGTCGGTGGGTTCGTTGAGGGGGTTGTACCCGGCTACCCAGGGGTTGGATTTGTAGTGCTGCGGACGAGGCGGGGAGATGGCAACCGAGGTGAGACGGGAATGGGTGATCGAGATTGAGATCGCGATGGGAATAAGCAAGATACGAAGATCGTTCACACCATTAGCACGATCCTGTAGGTACCACAAGTCCAGGGCGGGATCAGGAGACTCACCTCGGCCAAATGTTCCCAGATCGTAATAGTCCTGTCCTGGAAATCCTTGTAATCCCAGAACAACGCCTTGTGTACGCCTGTCTCCCGGAGCGTTCGGTATTATCATCATCGTCACCATAATCACCAAGATTGTAAAACCCGCAGAGGTGGAAAAGCACGAAAGCACAAAGATCACAAAAAGAAAGAGAGGGAGATCGTCAGCACTCCCATCCCTCTTCAATCCTCACGTAAGCCGAAATCAAGGAAAAATCGAGAATAGGATAAGGCTAGGACGGATGACGGGTAGAAGAAACTCACCCAAATCGCTATGCCAATCGGTGTTCTGCGCACCGGGGGCGGCGTGGAGGTCGATGATCGTGTAGATCCCGTGTTTGGCGCACTGTTTTTTTTTCCCGTCGTTGGAATTCGTTTCGTTTGGGGTATTGGCATGCATCATAAGAGAACGAAACGAAGAAGGGAGGACGACTGATACTGACAAGCTCGATAACCCGATCCAAATGTTTCAACCCCTCCTTCTTGAACACCCTCGGGTTCATATCATCCTCCAAATGCCTATAGTTGATCGGTAACCGGATAGCGTTCAGACCGAGCGATGCGAAGCATTGGGCATCGGACTCGGTGAAGAAGTATTCGAGGAACTTGTCGAAGAAGTAAAGGTATTTTTCTTCGCCGAGCACTTTGAGCATGGAGGCTCGCATTTCGTCTGTCGGGTCGGGGTTGAATGGGGTTGTAGGTTGTGGTTGTGGTTGTGGTTGCGAGCGTCAGCATGCTACAAAATATGGCCATAGAAAGTAGATGGGAAGATGCTCACGTTCGTGTCCTGGGTATCCGGTGATGAACTATCCTCAACAAGCGACACATTCCGTCAGCTACCTAAGCTTTCATTCCTCGATAGCAAGACTAAATCGAGCGTGGGAGGTTGGAAGAGGAACTCACGTTCTCCATGTTCATCCACCCGCCCAACCCAGCTCCACGGAGCAAGACCGGCGTCTCACTAGGATCATCGGATTTGACGATCTTGTCGCCGGATACTTTCAGGAAGGAGGTCGTAGGTGCCATCTTAGCGTTGTGTGTTGTGCTGTGATATTTGTGCTGCGAAGATCAGGGATCAGGGATGAGGATGAGGTCGATGTAGCGATGTTCAAGTTCGTTGTAAGGTGGAGTCGTCGTTGAGTCGATGCTTATGTACCACCAGTTCGGCGTTCGGGAGATTTGAGTTCGGATGACCCCTATCGACCGAGTTAATCACCGACTAGTGGCATTGACCATCGCCAACGAAACCGATGATGTACATATGCGATCGAATGGGCAAAGCCGCACATTGCATATCGAGCTGATTGTCCAGGTCTTACTAGACCTATCTCCCGTTAACGAGACTGTATGAGCATCGCCACCGTGTATCGTTACACACGATCGCAAGCGTCCATCGGTCGAGGATTGAGTGAAATGTGAGGGTTTCCACCGACATCGCGCGCTAAACGGTTTCATGCGGCGCACATGCTCCACCTTCTTCAACGCCATTGTCGCATGATCGTTGCTTGTGTCAACAGCTCGAAACCCACAGAGATATGAGACGGAAGGTAAGTGAGGGGGAAGATACTGTGGCTCGAGGTCAAACCTGAGTCCGTCTGAGATGAACAGTCAGGTGGTCTGCCTGGTCTTGCTCATTAGGTTGATTGTGATGTGATATTTCAGTGGAATGAAGCCATCGCTTGAGGATGATCTATGCAGATGCCGCTCAAGTCTCAGCAAGAGATATCATATTCTTTATCTTCATGGCTATCATACTGACTATCGTGAATCGACTGACCCCGTCATCGGTCCTTGGTGCTAGAATGGGTTTTCATAACAACAAGGGCTCGTAAGTGTGATGTCAAGCAGACATCAGTCCCCGAAACTCCAACCTCAAAACTAACGAATTGCAGACCTGGCTGAGAGAGCGTACAGTATCAGCTCGGCCTGTCTAGCTCCCGTCCATAAAGATTTGACGTACGCAAAGGGAGGCTTCTCAGACTCGCCCGCCTCGCTTCCTAACTCGATCTCAAGCGGCGAGGCGCTTGCAGACTCTTGCTAAGGAAAACTGGAGAAGGAGACTGTGGCTGGGGTGACAGGAACAACGCTAGTCCAGTCAGGCTGGTATAGGCGAGAGAGTGTCGTCATAGCCTACACTAGGTATGTAAGGGTTTTACACGGTTCTCTTCAACCGATCATTGATGTTAATCCACGATACGATAGGTACTCTGCCGCTGAGCTGCAACAGCCCGCTACCGTGAAGACTGATGCCAAGACCTCGACTATGGTGTCTGTAATTAGGAAGATCCGTGAAGGCTTGGGAAAGATGCGAGTGAGTGAGGTTTGGGGCACGCTACGCCTAGAGAACTCAAGTCTTGTCTTCCCTCTGGGCTTGACGCTCGAGGACGGCGGCCTGGACTGTCTCGGATATGAAGCGAAATCTGGCTACTTTCTCAAGCTCGCGTCTTCAAAGGTACCACTCGTAGGCTTCACATCGCCGAAAATCCATCTCGGTTACGCTCTTCCAACCAGGATCTATGGATGACACGCATGTACAACGACGTCTAGCGATGACCGGCCTTAAGTGGATACATCATCACCGCCCCCGCCTCTCTTGTTCCAATTCTTCCCTCCGCCTCTCTTCTATGCCCCTCTCTGCCGATCCCAAAAGCTTGTCCCAAGAGACTTCCCACCCGCGTTCGAAGCATTCTTGCGAGAACTTGGCGATCGCCTGTTCACGGGCCGCTCGGCGGATCGATAGCTGGGTAGAGGAGGGGAGGGAGAGGATGGTGTGGATCTGGTCGGCAAAGGAGGAAGCTGTGGTAGCGTGATAGCCTGTGGCGAATGGACGCAAGGATATTCAGGTAAAAGAAAAGGGAAGTCGAGAAGACAAGAAGGAATCAGTTTCAGCACGGACTGGACAAGGAGACAGAACCTCTTTCATTGTATTGCTCACCTGTAGTCTGCCCATCGAGCGGTACGACGATATCCAACCAAGGTCCCGCGCTCTGGTGCACAAGCGGAATCAACCCGCTCGCCATGAACTCTACCACGCCGATCCCGAAATGTTCATCTTTCATGGTGTTCAGCCCGATGGACGCCGAGCCGAGATGGGAGACGAGCATAGGAAAGGGAGCGTTGGTGATGAACTCGACGTTGGCCTGCAGAGGACCAGGATTTATAGATAATAGTTAGATGTTTGTCTTGAGAAGATCGCCACCCGGTATTCAGGACGCACCTCGATCCCAAGATCCACAGCTAGTCGCCTCAAGCCGTCTATCCGCCGTTCATCCGCCTCATCTCGACAGCTCCCCATCAAGACCAGCTTGACCCCCTTGCTCGACCCCGATCCCGCCTTCTCTATGTCGGTTTGCACCTGGGTTCCCGTTTTGTCTCCAGAATCTACCTGCACGTCCCGCCACCGAGGATACCGCTCAAAGAGGATCGCCAGCGCTCTCAGTTGTTTCGCCTGATCCTTTTCCGGTCGAAACTGAGCGAGGGAGATCAACGTATGGCTTTGATGCCGGTCCTCGAGAGGTAAGTGCAAGAACTCCGAGGTATCGCAAGGCGGGAAGACGACCCGGTCGTTGCTGTCCCCGTCATTTTCTTTGTTCTGTGCATCCGTCTTGTTTGCTTTGGGCCTCCCGGTACCGTCCAAATTGAGCAGGTAAGCCGCCCACGTCCCCCGGCCCAACTTGAGTAACGAGGTGATATGCCCCGACGTCCAGGAAGAGTTGGTCATGATCTCGTCGGCGAACAACAGCGAGACGGCGTATGCCCGAGTAAAGGCGTGGTAATACCTACGAGAAAGAAACGATGAGATTGTCAGACCAGTGGTGTTCCTCCGATTCGATTGGCGGGAAGAGATCCGGATGAGGAGAGCGTGGTACATGTATACGTACGCGAGTTTGCCGAGCCGTCTCCACCCCTTCAACCCTCCCCCGCTCTTCTTCCCATTCGCACCATCACCACCATTCTCACCTCCACTTTCACCTTCACCGCCCGTACCTGCCTCACTCCCACTCTCCACACCCCAAACCCCATCCCGCACCCTCCCGATCATATCAGTCGATATCACCGGATAATGCACGTAAGCCCCCAAGGGGACCGTCGAGCCGGATAGGAAGGAGAGGAGGGGGAGGGTGAATGGGTGGCCCATGGTGTCTGTCGGTTTTCAATTTTATATTCGAGATGGTGGATTTGTTTTACGGGCAGGAGGTTTGATGATCATGATCGTCGAGTGGAAGGATTGGAGGTTGTTGTTCAGGAGCGATCATGGTGGTATTACGAACAAATATGAGATCAGCAAGATTGTCCTCAAAACACGTTCCTGCTTATTCAAGCGAGCTCGACAAGATCAACCGGACTCACCGATAAACACATCCGGCCAAAACCCCTTCTTCCCCCCTTCCTCCACCCTCTTGCTCCACAATCTCCGTAACCCCAACCCCAACCCGAAATCCACTCCAATTCCAACTCCAAACCCCTCCGCGCAGACTAAAACACTCCCCAAACTCTGTCCTAAGAGCGTGAACCGGGTCCAGTACCCGTCTGAGATCAGACGGCGGGAGGGGAGGGGGAGGAAGTGGATGGAGTGTAGGTAGGGGGTTTGCGAGAGGGGGAGGTGGAATCGGGTCTGTTTGGTGGCAACGGGTTGGGGCGCGTTCGGGGGGTTGAGGTAGGGGAAGATGGATGGGATGGTGTGATGTGATGAGAGGTTGGTGAGAAAGCGGGCCGGAATCGACGAGAAGCGTATGAAGAGATGCAATAAAAACAGAAACAAGTCAGAACCACTTGACCTCATACCTGACCCGACATGCGAAACCCGTCAGGAGAGCGAAATGAGATAGAAACTCACCTGAACCCGCTCGAGGATCTCCTCCTTGGAAGCAGCAGGATAATCACCAGAATAGACCACACAGACCACTTTCCTCCCTTCAACTCTATCCTTCTGTTGTCGAAGAGCCCAGTAGATGGCTGTCCAGAGGACTCTTTCTCCGCCGCCGCCGGCGTTACTATAAATCGGAATATATATAAGATATGGGGAACTTGATCAGTACAGGTTGTTCCAGTCCGGGTTGTGAGAGGTGGGAGGAAAGGAGCAGGGTGGATGGGAATGGGAATGGGGGACTTGCCAGTATGGGTGCCAGAAACCTATTATCAACGGACGGGTTGACGGTGATGTCGATGTCGAAGTGGAGGTGGAAGATGTCGAGGCAGAGGATATTTTGGGTATCTTGTGTGAGAGGCCCGGAGCTTGTGATTCGAAGCCCGGGTTTCTGTGTCGTAATGTCCCCGCCCCAATCGTTGACTTCCCGTTCGTCCCACCCGTCATCTCCTCCTGGCCATCCTTCTCCTTGTCCTTCACCCCATACCCGATCTCTTTCAAAAACCTCTCCTTCCTCCGCTCATTCCCAGCTCTCTCCCTATTCAACCACCCTATCACCAGGGCGACCAGGAAGAGCAGGACGATAGGTAGAACGGAAAGGGCGATGTAGTACCGAGGAAGGTCTATCATCGCAGAAGCTTGGGGGATGGGTTTTTGACGTTCTCGGGCGGAGGCTAGGCCGCGCCGGAGTTGAGGTGGGGGAGGGGGGTTGAAGGTCATGGTTCAGGATGACTTATGGCCGAGTTGATGTTTCGAATGTCGAGGTCTGCTATGTATCGTAAATGATATAGTTGAAGAGTGGACAAGGTCATAGGGAGGTCGTCGAGGCCGGAGGATGACGTGTAAGTCACGTGACACGCAGCTCCTCGAACATCGTGTTTCACCTTGCATTCCCTCATCGTGCTAATCTGAAACTCAAGAGCGGTGTCGGCGGCAGAGACGTTGCGGTTCGAGCTCGAGGTAGAAGCCTGATTGACAGGAGCAGCAGGGACTTTGCAGTTCAACCGTGCTGAATTGGCAAGGACCCTCTTTGCTGCAGGGAGACCTTCCTCATAAGTCTTGTGACTCAGGTCACAGACCTTCTTGTCATCTGGGATCCATTCTCCAAAATCAGTCAAGGCACTCCTCAAGCTCCTTGACCTCTGAAACCGGCGAGTCGACCCTGTTGTACCTCCCCCTCTTCCTACTACCAATTTTCGTCGCTGTGACCGTCAAACCGAATGCCTTGGTGCGAACTCATGCTGAAGAGATCGATATATTCCCGCCACCATCGCTTTGGACATTCAAGTGGACAAGTCCGGCATCCCATCTTCTTACGCGGACCTTGTTGAGGGGCGCACGATTTTTCTAGTTGACAAGTTCCTCGGCCGGACGGGATATACTGTATGATGTATTAATAGATACATGCTGCGTAAGGATCGGCCCGCTTGACCTGGATACAATATTAAGCTCGTCTACATGTGTTGTCAGCGATACGGCGGCCGTCTCGTCCATCTCGTTGGGTTGCCCCGTTTGTCTGCCGAACGTATGATCCCCTCCGACCTTCATCCCAACGTTCGAAAGACCTCCATGATCCGACCAACTCGTTCCCTTTTCTTTAAACGACGACCCATCGCCGCCTCCTCCCAAACCCAGCCTGCCCACCTCTGCCCCCATTCCTGACCACCCGATCGAACACCTCATCCCCCAAACTGAATCCAGCACCTTGAGCTAGGGGACTGTCCATCATCCCCGTACCCGTACCCGTCACTGCTCCCCCGCTCGCCCCTGATCCCGACCCTAGACCCTCAGCAGACGACTCGAAAGAGCCGGAAGAAGCGGAAGTGTGGGACGTGTGATAGTTCACCGGGGCTAATTCCAGAGGCACCGTGTGTCTGGTGACCACCTCCGTTCCCCTGGGCGTCGATAACGCCGATTGGGGGTCCCTTTCTGTATTATTCATGTCCCGGTCCGTAATACGACGCTTGGCGCCCGGTTCGGGGAAGAGGTGTAGAGCGGATGAAGAGGCGGTAGATTGGACCGAGGATGTGAGGTATTCCAGGGTCTTGTTCGTTAGGTGCGTATGAGAGTGAGTGTGGGGTTGTGCGTGGGTGTCTGGGGTGGTTCGCTGGAGAAGCAGAAACACGTATCGAAATCATCAGCTTCAACCTTCAAGGCATAACGATATCTTCAAGCGCATGTTGTTCACGCGAACTCAATGGAAAATCGCCATTTCGAAACTCACCTCGAACGTCTTTCTCCACCGATGTCGACCTGGTAAACCCGGAACCCAAGGGACGTCCAACATGTACCCCGGTCGTTCGTTCTTCCGCATCTTAATCTCCCTCTCATTCTCCCTCTCAGGCCCTGTCCCGGTCCCGGTCCCGCTCTTGCTCGAATCAAGCTTTCCTGCATTCGACGTTCCCGCTGAACCCTCTCCTGCTGGTTCGTCTTTGACCCGTATTCCAGAAGCACCTCCGGGGTAAGTCGAGGTAGATAGTTGGTCAGAGAGCGCATCTAACCGGTGGATAGTAGACCTCCGTCGACGTTTAGCCGGAAGGGGCGTCGAGGGTGCTCCGCTTTCTGTATTCCCTGTATTCGAGGCCGAGGTTGGTATTATTGCACTCGCAGGGTCTTGTAGATCAGCGGGAATGAAGGTGCGTTTGTTGAGTGGAGGGAGGCGAGGGTAAGAAGCGGTGATACTAGGTAATCGATCTGATTCGTCCTCGTCGTCTGAGAGGGAGATTGTGTAGGGGTCTTGAGGTTCGGGAGTTATTTCTCGGAGGGCAAGTGGGAGTGGAACTGATTGATTCCGATTTTGATTTCGATTTCAACGTCGTGCAGGTAGGGGAAGGTATAAGATCAGCAATCCATTCGTCTCAGGTAACGTAGCAATTGATCGCGAGATCCGACCTGGTACACTCACCTAACACCCGATCATAAACACTTCCAGTCCCACCCTCCTTCCCGCTCCCAGAAGCTTCTCCCTTACTCAACCCGGCCTCATTCCCACCCCTGACTCCTCTTCTAGACCTAGCTACCATGCTCTTCAAATCCCTCACTGGCGCCTGGTAACTCTCCAAGACGACCGCATGTACCCGTCTCTCGATCGCATCCCTGGTCTTCCATTGAGAAGCCTGAAGAGCTTGGGCTTGTTCTTCTTGAGTGAGGTGTTCGGTATTGAGATGAGAAGGGATGTCTACTTCCATCGGCTGGTTTGTGTTCGGGTCGGGTTTGGCAGCAACTGTGCCGTCAGGGTTCTTGATATCGCTATTGCTTTTGGTGTCATCCTCGAAGTTGGAAGGGTCGAAGAGATGAGGATCCACCCGGGATAGGTATGAATGGGAGAGCGATTCCAGGATGTCTACAGGAGAAGGTTGAAGCCGGGATGCATGTTCGGCGAGTATATGAGCTTGGGTGAATAGGTTGGCGATGTCTGGAACAACACCGGCGTCGTCGTATATGAGTTCAGTTTCAATCAGCATAATAGTACGTCAAAAGAAGTGTCGAGAGAAAGCTGTGTGCTCACGATCTTCAAGCATCCTCTCCATCTCGGCCAACACCCCAGCTTGACAACCGGTGAACCCACGTTGGTCCAAGATAGAGCTGATCATATGGACGAGGTGGAACGAAGCCGTCGAACGGGGGACGTGGGGTGGCATCTGGCTCGGGCCTGGGCGAGGTGGTGTTGCCGTTGCCGTAGACGAGGGGAAGCTCGGGACCTCTGGGGGTTGAGCTGACATGGTCGATTCGGCTATCCGACTACCGGATGGTTTGACCTTTTGGATGGAGGTATGGCCGGTATTGTTAACCTACAAGCTACAGGTGTTCAAGTCATGGGCTTTGGGCAGGTCGTCCTTCCTTGATCATATTCATTAGTCGAAGTGCGTGCTTACGTAATTGGTCGTTCAGCTCAACGAAATTAGGGGAACCAATCCGGGGACGACCACTTTCGATACGGGGACGACCGACCATGACAAATTCACGCATCAAATACATCCCATCCTCCCTAACCCATAACCACTGACCCATAACCACTAACCCAGACCTCTAACCCCTAACCACTAACCCTAACCCCTAACCCTAACCCTCAACCCTGATCCCCAACCCATCAATCTAGTTTGGCAGGGATCTGGGGGTGTTTTCGGGGAGGTGTCTCTGTACTGTGGGAGGATCTCAGGAAGCAAATTAGGAGGCAAATCTCGCTTGGTTAGACTTCTCGCCCTATATGGTCGTCCCCGTATCCAAAGTGGTCGTCCCCGGATTGGTTCCCGAAATTAGCGTTATCTATTTTTTAGCTCAAATCTTGACAAATGCAGACAAAAGCTGCAGGGATAGGTGGATTGTGAACATCGGTAATCTGCTGCTTTACCAGAATTACCAGACGGTAATGAGTGGGTAATTCGGATGTCAAGGATACGATATACGAATGACTTTAGGCTTTAAATTCAGATTGAGCTATTTCTTCTATAAGGGACGGCGGCAAACAACTTGAAGTAGCAGTGCTGACAGGAGCAGCTGAGGTTGGTTCTGATTCTCAGGCCGTTACCTAAGGGATATCACATAGTAATACCAAGAAAGGGTGGAACGATTGGGACTGCGGTCTCTGTTACCAGGTCATGATCGATCAACATGGAAAGCGACCCATTGAAGACTACATCATGGTCCTCTCTCAAGATCTTCCTTGTGGTGTTTCTTCAATCCAGATTCATTTGGTCTGTATTTCAATGAAATTGGGAATCATGAAGCTCATCAAGAATTGTCTCACCTTTTCTAAATTGACTTGCATGTGGCCTTGAGATAGATCAGGAAGCATTATCTCCATCATAGATGCCAGTCATGCCTCGATCACTATGAGCAACCTTCTGGAACTGATGGATCGAGAGAAGAAGGGCGAGCGCGATGCAACGGATTCCCAGGAGGTCCAGCTACCGACCATACAGAGGGACTGGGAAGACCCTCCATTTGACGATGACGATGACGACTACCCTCCTTTTATTGACATCTCTTACCCTTGATGCCAAAGACCCCATGCTCATATTCCTTCAGAATGACCCAGAGATTGTTGCCAGGTGGTCCCTCCGGAGATGTCCCGGAGAACCTGCTTTCGAGTACGAGGAGGATGAGGAAGAGAACGGGCAAGTCGGGGAAATGCCCCTTCTTGTGACTTTGGCTGTATACTACAGATCTCTACAAGTTTGAATGAGATGAACATATACAGAATGATCAAGGTAGAGAATCCCTGTGGCAAGGATAAACTTAGGGTTAAACTAAACTCCAGGTCGTAAGGTCAAGGTCTGGCCAAATTTTGCATCCGACGCGATCTTTCGGAGGGAGATCGAGCAAAAGTTGAGGAGGTCCCAGTTCAAACCATCGTCTTCCCGAGTTTTAATTCCAGCTCTATCAGCTTGATTCGCCACATATCGCACACAATACCTCAGGCTACATATATACTAGCTCAAAATCCGTGGCTTGTTCCAATAGCACATCGAACGAGCTACCTGCTCAACGGCAAAGAAACGCCCTTACGAAAAAGACCTCAACCCTGTCGTTCAAACCCGTCTTCCGGAGGATCCTCTCGCCCGACCTGAAAAGACGATTGAGAGAGATGACCGCCGTCGTGGAAGCACAAACTGCTGCGATCTCGTCTTCGAACGGGAATGGAAATGGGAATGGGAATGGAGCTGCAGCTATAGCAGGAGCAAATGGGGCGACTGGGGGAATCGGGACAAAGTTGCATGGGTATGCGTTCTACGAGAGTATAGGACGGCCAAAGTTCGTCATCGCGCCCATGGTGGATCAGAGCGAGTTGGTGAGTCTTGTTCTCATTAATCTGGTTGGACTTTCTACTTGAATGATCGAAGGGGGCGGTGGCCGGGTATTCTTAGCCCGTTCTTCACTGCAGAAGCTGATCTCGTTCTTTACCCCTATGCTTTATTTGCTTTTCTTTTTCGGATTCCCGACTGTGCCCGAACGCCGGACCACAACTAATATGGACATGGCTCCTGAAATCGGAATGCGTGTGGAACTTCGTCTTCGGACTCTTATACTGAAATGAATACGGACGAGGGATATTATAGGCATGGAGAGTCCTCTCCCGTCAACCCATCCCACCGACTTACCGCCCTGATCTTCAAGTTCAAGCCGTAGCGTCCAGCTCTACCTCTCCTCCTGCTACCTCAACCTTGATCTCAACAACTCCTACTGCCTCAACCTCAACACCCGCTACAAACTCTCAAGAAGACTCGACAACCGCGACCGCAACCAAGACAAAGACAAAGACAAAGGCCCCCCTCCTCCCCACCGGCCACCCTATCGGAGGAGCCCATCTCGTCTATACGCCCATGATCCATGCGAGGCTGCTTGTCGAACGGGAGGTCGTTCAGGGGAAGAGGGATGAGGAGGCTTTTAATCGGGTTTTCGGTCAGTCCTATTATTACTGTGACTTGCGGGGCTTGTCATAGAGGGAAGATGTGTAGGTGACGGAGCTGATCTTCTCTCGATGGGATATCTCACAGGCGAAGAAGGGTCTAAGGAGAACTTGGTCGGGCTGGACGTTGGCGATCGGCCGTTGTTCGTACAGGTAAGTTCTAGCTTTTTCCGATTCTCTTCTTCACCCCTATCCACGCCAAATCTGGTTCGAAACGTATTCCTCAACCAGCTTTCAATTCAAGGACTGACAAAAAATCCCTTGACGCTCTCTTCTCCTGATTTCTCATCGTCGTGGTACCCACGAGCACAGTTTGCGGCCAACGATCCGGATGTGCTGTTACAAGCTGCAAAGCTGGTAGAGAAGCATTGTGATGCGGTGGATATCAACTTGTGCGTTCTCCTCTTCACCCCCTGATTTTTGCCAAGGCCGGGGGACGGGAAGAAGAACCGAGAGCTGAATGAGATTCGATTACTTGACTGCGATGGTTGTGATGGTGAACACAGTGGCTGTCCTCAGGGTATCGCAAAGAGAGGGAATTATGGGAGTTTCTTGCAGGATGATTGGGATACGATATACAAGATGAGTGAGTCCAGGTCCTCCTCGTTGTATTCCACCCTCGCCGTAAACCGAAACGTCGCCTGATATCCGCCCGGTCCCCGTATATGTCTGCACAGTCAACATCCTGCACAGGAACCTCTCTATCCCCGTCACCGCCAAATTCCGGATATTCAAGGACGTCAACAAGACGATCGAATATGCCAAGATGATGGAGAGCGCCGGGGCGAGTATATTGACTTGTCATGGGAGGACGAGGGAGATGAAGGGGCAGATGACGGTGAGCTCGGTTCTAATGCGCGGCATTAAGGTTTGACGTGGACGGGAGCTGAATCTGGACTTGTGCCATCGACAGGGTCTAGCAGATTGGCAGCAGATCAGAGCGGTCAAGCAGGCTGTTAAGGTGCCGGTCTTTGCAAATGGAAACATCCTGTATAGGGAGGATGTCGATCGGTGTATCGAGTTGACCGGGGTGGATGGCGTGATGACCGCCGAGGTGAGTCTGACTATTAGATGTTCTCAGGTGCATGACGGCTAATCGTTTTATTTGACCGCATAGGGTAACCTTTCAAATCCTTGCTTATTTGTGCCTGAGACCTCACCGCTGTCGCACCCACCATCCTGGATCGTGGCCAACCATTATCTGGATATCGTGGAAAAGCTCAAGACGCCCACGTCTATGTCCGCCATCCGAGCACACATGTTCAGGATGCTGAGAGCAGGAATCGAGAAGCATACCGACGTTCGAGCGCGTCTAGCTTCAGGGTCGGGGAGCCTGGCGTTCTACCGTAGTATCGTCGAGGAGCTGCGGCCGTTGTTGGAGAAGGACATGGAGGAAGAACCGATAGCGGAATTCCCCCTGCCGTGTCACCCGGAGACTGGGTTGAAACGGATACCTGTCTGGGCAGCTCAACCGTATGTGAGGCCACTGCCGGCAGGGACATACAAAGCCATCAAGGACGCGAATTCGAGATCGGCAGAGGGGACTTCGACGCCAGGGGTACTAGAGGATATGCTTACCGGCGGGACCGGTGAGGAAAGGGTCATCGCGCAAGGTGAGCCTCGAAGTGCGCTACTATGTCTGATCTCGTACCTAAATGGCCCCATTTTTTCAGACGGTACTGCGGCGGGACTCGCCCAACCCCTTCTACCGGAAGCTATAAATTGCATGATCGGCGGCGACCCCGAATGCAAGAACATTGCCGCCGCCAACTGCCCAAGAACGGCTTGCTTGACGCATTGCCGCGCTCAGGGTGGTCTCGAGGCGGGTCGTGCGGAAACGTTGGCCGACGCTGTCAAGCTCGCTCAGGGCGGCAAATTGACAGGACTCGGATGCGAGGGTCACGAGGAAAAGGACCGCGCTAGAAAACAGCGCAAGGCAGAACAGAAGAAGGCATATCAGGAGCACAAGGCCATGCGAAGGACTAAACGGAATCGCGCCAAGAGCGTGGAAGGGGACGATAAACCGGACGCGAAGAAGGTCAAGGTGAACGAGGTCCAGCCGGAGGAAGAGGAGGTCAACAATGTATAACAGCAAAGCGGTGAAGTACAAGGAATAGTTGTACCGTAATACAGTCACGATTCCTCTTCCCACAGCGATCAGTGTGCGCGCGCCTCCTGAGGCTTGAGTCCCACCAGATCCATGAGCTGTCTGGTTCGATTATGGATTTTTGTGGCCCATCTCAGCTGTACGAACAGGGTCCCCATAGCGTTACCAGAATTTCCCTGATCCAAGATTGCTTTGGCATAACTGCTGCAGTCTCGGAGGGAGTCGTCTATCAATGTCTGAGCTTGTTGTCGGACGCCTTCGCTCAATTTCGAGCCTTTGAGCCATTTCGACCAGTTTTGCAGACGTGACCATTGCCACCGTAATTCCCAAATCTGCCCTTCACTATAATCTGTGACTTCTATTCCCTCTTCAAAGTGTCTTTTAGCGATCGCTTCCATCTCCTGCGGAGCGTTAACACTACTGGGATCAGGAAGTAAATCATCGATCTTCATCGATGACAGAGAAGGTAACTGTCTCGAAGACCAGTCGACGGGGTCGCTAATGGTCGAATTCCGGCGCGTATCGCAGGCAGGAGATTGCAAACTCGATGAGTTGTTGCCTTGGTATGATGAGGATCCTGGCATTGTGGAGATACTGAAGGTTGGATAATGGCGAAGAGAAGGTGTTCGAGCTGTAGTAGATGGAGCAGTAGGAATGTGATCCGACTTATTAACTAACATAAAGATCTGCAGTTCGGGCGCTCGACTGTTATATCGATCCCATTATGCTGAGTTTCATGTTATAACCCCGTGTACAGTATGTGTCTCCATCCCGCATAAAGGAGGTAGGTGACCAGGTTTCAGCATAAAACCGGGGTTTATCCGGGTGAAGAGGCTGTTTTAATCCCGACGTGATAGCTCCCCTTAACCATACTGAATGAACTTTACACAGGTCTGGACAAACGCGATCGCGAGTCTCCTTCTCGAATCTACTGCTTGTGGGAATCATCCCAAAGAGCCGTATCTGCGAGTATCTTCCAGGCTTCTCAATCATGTACGTGATCAGTTGTGGGGTACACAAAACGTATAGCTCGTCACCATATACGTCTTTGGAATGTACACAGCCGATGTGCTGAGAGCCGTGGGCACGAGAATCCTCGAAACCAGGATATGTGTTCCTAGTCTGTTTGATTGTTGTTTGTGGGCAAGACAGTCGCAAACTGATCGAGAACTACGGATTGTTCTTTCCCGTTGCCCCACCCCCACAAAAAGGCATTACCAGTGGTACAATGTGCTCGGGAATCTCGGCCTAGGGCTTTGCTGCCCATATCGGCCATGTTATATTCGGCTCTTCTTCGACCGATGCACGCCTGTACGGCCGCAGACCCTCATCGCGGTGTTTCAGCCATGACGACGTTCACGCGCGATCTTGTTGTGGGTGCGACACATTGTCATTCCCGATGCTATCGGCTTTGATTCCTTGTCATCTCGATCTTGAGCCCGACTACCCCAAGAGGCGACAACTGGAGGGATTTTAGGGTGGAAAACCCTGTATTACATTCCATGTTAAGGCTAGCTGGTGATGTTGCAGTATAGTAGGTACAGTATGAGGAAAATGTCTGAATTTGGCATCAGCGCTATAGCCCGAGTCATCGAGTTCTGGTCGACAAGAAGTACTCGGTCGCTTTGTTTGAAAGGAGGAGGAGTACCCCATCCTCAATCCATCCCTCGGGATTTCCTTCGTACTGCTGTAGCCTCTGATCTGCGGATTTTAAATCCCTGTCACCGATCAATTTGTCTTCAAGAGCTTTGTGGCACCGCCAAAGCTCTCTGTAATGGCGAATCTGATCTTCAACTGAGAACTTGGTCCCACTACCCTCCCCCGTGATGTTTGGAGTTCTGTCCAGGACTAAGCTTCTCATTTTCTCCTTCGCTTGCTCGTCGGTCATTTCGTCAATATTATCGGAGGTGGCGACACTGGATCCGCCGCGATTGTAAGAGAGACTGGGAGGGGCGAGGCTGGTCCGGTCAGTCGAATGATCCGTCGACGTGGTCGGGTCGAGAGAATCTTCAATCGTCATTGTATGTGTACTTGGTGTCTGGCCTGTACGCGATCGGCTTGTTGCAATACCCAAATCAGCTTAGGGGCACACGAATCTTCGCTTGGCATCCAGCGTTATATATGTGAGGCGCAGTAGACCAGTGCATCGGCAGTGCCAGCGGCCTTTTCCGACTTGCAGGTTCGCGATCCCATTCGACTCCATTCTTGTGCCAGGTAGATCCTTTGTTAGTACCCATTTGGTCCCTCCGTTTCTCAGGGATGTGGCGCGTCGTGCTGCGTCCTCTCGTTTCATCTTGATCGGCCGATGAGTCATCGTCCCAAGAATCGACCGGAGTGCCTTCAACATCCTTTCGCTTCAACTTTTTCAGCTTGGGAGTACGGTTGATGGTCGTCTGCTTGGCATCCGGGATGAGCAAATTGATATCGGTTATGCATGGACCATCCGAGCGATCATACCGTTTGAACGCGTATCTTCCGCTGGTAGGAATCTCGAGAGTCGCGCGAGATTAAGCCACACCCCCCGGCTCTTGGCACAGAAGTTGTCCTGCGAGATTTATTCTCTTGCTCTCTCTTGGAACCCTGTTCTTTCGTACTGAGCGGCGCAATGACACATCTGACCTGAAGGTATTGAGGAGCTTCCGGCAAGAAATTGAACCAGAAGCCTAACTTCCTTTCTCATGATGGCAAAGAAAGTTCACAAACAGCATCATCATAAAGAAAAAGAACTCATGCATATGGTGGCACACGATCGGGGGTGTTGACGAATAAACGATAATACAGTGATGCAGTGAACATTGCTATACGTCTCGACCATCGTGTGAAACAGATCGATCTATATACGTCGTTCTTTTCAAAGCTCTTCTATCCTTGCCAATCTGGTCGTCCACTGCTCTCAATGACTTGTGCAGCTTTCTTGTACATGTCGTACAAGCGACCGTGGGTTGTGGCATCCTCCCAATCACTGATGTCTTCACCTCTCCCGCACTTCATCTCCCAGGATTTCAGGTCTTCATCAGAATCTGGCACAAATTCGGGAATCACGTCAATGAGCCTGAGGCACTGCCAAATTATTCTGTAGCATGGGATCCGATGTTGGAGAGGTTGATCAACCTTGGTCAGGATATTGACTAACTTGAAGAGAGTATATACTACTTCGTAAAGTGTGGGGTCTGTGTTGGATATCGAGTTGATCACCGTTGTATAGTTTTCATGAGGATAAAATATACAAGAGGGGATCATGAAATCAGACCAGAATGGTCTGCTATATATATTATTCTGGTAGGTGGCAAGGTGCTGCGGTTTGCGGTTTGCGGTCTGCGGTTTGCGGTCGCAAGTTGCGGTTTGCGGTCGCAACTTGCGGTTGTGGTCGCAACTTGCGAGAGTGGTCGCAGATTGCTAAGCGAGTCGCAGATTGCTAAGCGAGAACAAAAGGAAAGGTGCGAAGAGTGGATGTGCTTTATTGTTCCATGCGATCTATTGTTCTGGGAGAACAATAGACGTGCGGGAGAACAATAGGATTCGACACTCCCCCTCACTCAAGCGTCCTTTGCGAAAGAGGTTGGTTTTCCCCTGAGACCCATCCCGGTGACAAGGTGATGGAATTGGTGATGGGCGAGACCTTTAGTGAGAGCATCGGCAAGGTTGTCCTGAGTTGGAACATGGGAGAGTTCAACGGTGTTGTCGAGTACCTTCTCTCTAAGATAGTGGTGTCTCATGTCGATGTGTTTGGTGCGATCATGAGCAACAGGATTCTTGGATAGTTGAATGGCAGCATTGTTGTCGTTGAGAATGGCGAGGGGACCAGAGACCGGGTGACCGAGAGATTCGAGAAGAGTGCGGAGCCAGACTGCCTGTCGGGTGGCGTCAGCGGAAGCCATGTATTCAGCTTCGGCAGTAGAGAGAGCTGTGGTTGGTTGTCGTCGCGATTTCCAGGCTACCGGTCCTCCAAAAGCACGGAAGAGGTATCCGGTAGTAGATCGACGAGTGTCCAAGCATCCGCCCCAGTCAGCATCGGCGTAGCCTAGGATGATCCTTTGACCAGAGGTAGCGTCATAGGTGAGGCAGAGTTCGATAGTGCCTTGTAGGTATCGAAGAAGGTGTCGAGCTGCATGGACGTGTTGTTTGTTCCACTTGCTGACAGTCCGAGCTAAGACTCCAGCAGCATGAGCAATGTCGGGTCTGGTGATGGTGGCCGCGTACATGATTGATCCGACCATTGCTGGATATTCCTCATGAGCGGCTTCCTGATGTTCAGTGTCGGTAGCAGGAAGAGATCGGAAGCCGGAAGGAAGGGGAGTCTTTGCCGGTTTGGAGTCAAGCATGCCAAACCTTTCCAGGACCGCCTGTACGTAGTGTTCTTGAGAGATGTAGAGTTTCCGGTTGGGCCTGTCTCAGAAGACGTTGAATCCAAGAAAGTAAGAGACCGCTCCTCCGTCAGAGCACTCAAATCGGTCGTTGAGCTTGGTCTTGAAGTCGTCCAGTTCCTGACGATTGTTGCAGGCGATGAGTTGATCATCAACATGGACGGAGAGAATGAGAAGGGTATCCTTGCTTGACCGGATGTAGAGACAGGAGTCGGCCAGAGAAGGAATGAGACCAAGAGATCGAAGGAACTTGTCGAGAGCCTGGTTGAAGCAGCGAGGTGATTGTTTGAGACCGTAAAGTGATTTCTGAAGTCGGAGAACCTTGTTGGCAGGGATATTGCTGCCCTCAGGAGGTTCAAGATGGACGAGTTCCTCTAATTCTCCGTTGAGGAAGGCGGCCTTGATGTCGACCTGATCGCAGTCCATGTCGAGGTAGTTGACCAGAGCGAGGAAGACTCGGATGGTATCCTTATGAGCAACTCCCGCATAGAGTTCGTTGTAGTCAACTCCTTCCTTCTGCAGAAATCCTTTTGCTACCCATCGAGCCTTGTAGGCGGATGGCTTCCCGGTCTCTCCGTCGATCTTTCGGGTGAAGACCCATTTGGCTCGAAGAGGTTTCGATGTAGCTTCTTGCCTATCGATGATGGACCAGACCTTGTACTGATCCATCTTGTCGAGTTCGGCTTTGATAGCCTCCTGCCATTTGTCCCACTCTGGAGATCGGTGGGCTTCCTGAAAAGTTTGAGGGATGGCCGTGGAGATGAGTGCATGGCCACAGATGACGGCGGTAGCGAGGTTTGCAGAGTATCCAAATTTGGCAGGTGGTTTGCGGACTCGTCGGGAGCCATCAGGCAGGACTGGGTTTTCCGGTGTCGGTAACGGTGCAATATCCCATCCTTTGCTCCAAATGCCGGATGACTTGTGTTTGGCCTGTGTAGCCTGTGTAGCCTGATCGCTTGGGATGGTCGTTTCATCGCCAGGCTGATCAGGTGAGTCGAGAGTATCGGTATTGTCTTCAGCCGATTGATCCTCTTCAGTTTCAGAGTCTGAGTCTGATGTTGGTTCAGGGACTATGTCAATGTCAACCTGAGTGGACTGGATTTTGGTTTCCAGTGATTTGGTGTTGGTGGAAATCTTTGGTTGTTTACCAAAGACCACATCACGAGAGATGGTGACCTTTTCGGTGCGTAGATCCCAGATCCTGTAGTTGTCGGTCCCCTCAACGTAAGAGAGTAGTTGCCCTTCTTTGTAGCGAGGGTGAAGTTTGTTGGTGTTGTTATGGTCACGGAACCAGAGCTCACAGCCAAAGGGTTGAAGGTGCCGGGAGTTGACTTCACGTTGCCTCCAGAGATCCTCCGGGATATGCTTGTCGGATCCTGTGGGAGCCCGGTTCCTGGTGTAGATGGCGTAGTTTGCCGCTTCGGCCCAGAACTTGTCATTGAGTCCGCTATCGATTAGGAGCGTTCTTACCTGATTGAGAATGGTAAGGTGCGCCCTTTCAACTCTACCGTTCTGAGCATGAGCGGCAGTTGGAACAAAGTGATGCTCGATGCCCTTTGCTTTGAGGTAGTCACGAAGAGCATGTGACTCGAATTCTCCTCCTTGATCCGATCGGATGGTCTTGACCGTGCAGTCCAATTGATTCTCAACTAGGTTGATATAGTCAATCAATGCCTGTCGGGTCTCAGACTTCTTCTTGAGAAAGCTGAGGTTGACCTTCCGAGTGTGATCGTCGTAACAGGTAAGGAAGTAGAGGGATCCTCCAATGGAAGGGGTTCGAGCTGGTCCCCAGAGATCGACATGGATAGACTGGAGTGGTTTGCTGGCTCGGATGTTGGAAGCAGGAGCGGGAAGTCGAGATCCTTTGCCTTGGATGCAGGCTGAGCATTGGAAACCGTAGATATCTTTTCCAACTTTGGCCCAGTCCACTGTCTTGTCGAGTCTTCCTTCTTTGCCAAGCTGAACCACCGAGCGAACATTGAGGTGACCAAGTCTGCGGTGCCAGTGGTAGAGGATGTTCTCCTCTGTGACGTTATTGGTGGCCGTGATGAGTGCAGCCTTGTGTCGAATAGGAGTGCTTGCCGGATCGAGGACAAACAAACCATCTTGTCGTGTTGCTGTGATGACCGGTTTGCTGGGTCCATCTTCAATAGTGTTGAGGATCGCTTTGTCTTTTGCAAAGGTCCAAGAGTGTCCGTTGGTGCTCTGTGCGGCACCAACACTCAGAAGGTTCCGTCCCAGTTCGGGTACGTGAAGAACATCGTGTAGTGTGATGTTTGGTAGTTTGAGTTGTCCGCATTCTCTGGCGGTGATGTTGGCGCCGTTGCCTATGGTAATGTTTGCCTGGATCGGTAGTTGTTTGATTCCAGTGAGTAGGTGTAAAGCCCGGGAGTGACCCCCGATGGGGGTCCCCCTGGACAGGCTGACGGGACGCAGGAATGAGGCAAGGTATGGGTAGACATCTAAATGTAATAACGGATGTAGAGCTATTACAGAGGTACTAGTTCTACATCCAAACAACAACACCGAAAAGTACCCCCGACGGGAGTCGCATACGGGAGTCGCGTACGGCGCGTCCGACGCGTCACGTGACCGCTATAACAGGATCCCCCTCCTAGATGCGAGCTCCGAACGCATCAAGCGTCGGCGTACTCTTGTCGACCGGGCTGGGGTAGATGAGGGTAGCGTTTGTGAAACGCTGCGACGACCTTGTCGTCGTGATCGAATTCGGCGGGGCTAACCCACTCGTTCGACTCGTCCCCGTACCCTTCGAATCGGACCAGGTATTGGGTTTTCTTCCCGGACCTTCCAGATCGTAACGCCTTCGAGTGTACGATCTCGGACACAACATACCCCAAGTCGCCGTTGTCGAGGACTTCGGGGGTAGGTGGCTCGACCACCTCTCTTCCTTCCAGTTCGTTGGCCCGATAGGGGATGAGCAACGACACGTGGAAGACGGGATGCACCCGGCGTAGCTGCGCGGGGAGTTCCAGTCTCCTCGCCATCTTGCTCTGGCCGATGACTTCCGTGATTCGGAAGGGCCCCAGCGTCTTCATCGAGAGCTTCTGGCTGGGGCGCACCGACGTCAAGTTCTTGGTAGATAACATTACCAGGTCCCCTACGTTGTAACCCTCGTCAGGGACGGCGGTACGCTTCCGATTTGCGTACTTCGCCATGTCTTTCCGCGCCTGTTCCAGCGCCTCCTTCACCGACTTGTAGATCCCGTCGAGTCGGTCTCGGTACTCCCCCGCCGATTCCACCGCCTCTTCCCTAGTGCCGGGCACTGGCAGGGAGAAGGTATGTTCCCTTCCCTCGGACGCCATGAATGGCGACATCCCGATGGCAGAGTGCTTCGCGTTGTTGTACGCGAACTCCGCCATGGAGAGTAACTCCGCCCAATCGTCTTGGAGGAAGTTGACGTACGACCGCAAGTACTGCTCCAAGGTGGAGT